CAGTGGTCGGCAAACTCATTAGTCAACAGAGCCAAATATCAACAGTACAACGATTGAAATTTCTTTTGACAGCCAAATTTTTAAACTTAAACTATATAGGTAGGTACATTGTTATTAACTTAATTAGGGTACTCCTAAGGCTTAGGAAGAGCCACACTCAAGGGGCCAAAGAACCGCATGTGGCTCGCGAGCCAAGTTTGCTGACCACAGGGTTAGGGCACAACCATGAATTCTTACTAAGGATGACTGTATAGTCATTTTTATTAGGATCAGTAGAAATCAAGAATTTCATTTGGCTAATTTTTGGTGATTAATGGGAATATGTGGTATTACTTGAAAGTAAAGAATAAACTTAATAAACTCATGAATGCTTATTATGACTTAGTTACAGCTTCAATTTTAAAAAGAATTTTGCATTTATATTTTTATACCTGATAAGATCAAAAGATTGAGAAGGTAAGTCAGCAGTAGTGTTTATAATTTAATTCATGTTGGGTGAAGTTCATAAAATGCTGGATCATATTGCCTTAGAAAGAAATTAGTTTTTAATGTTTTTATTTCTCCCTTTCCAAAAGTTTCTTAAGCTATATAAACAATGAGATCATTTACTACAATACAATAAATGGTATGCCCAAGTGCTAGAAGAAATTTCTGTTTCATTCAGTATCTGACTTATATAGCTCCATCCCTATAAATGACCCAGATTTGTGAGTTTATATAAAAAAAGAAAAAGTCACAGAGACAAAACATCTTACTTCCACTCCTGTCTTCACATAGCATGTTTTTAGCTGGGTTGGCTAAATTCTGTCAGTGAACAACTGCTACATTCAATTTGAATTACCTAACTGTCGAAAATGTTTATGTTTATTTTATCCATATTTTTCATTCAGTTGAATGAAAGTACCGATTTAATTTTAATTGTTTTTCCTCTTTGTGTTTTCCTTCTTCAGATTTTTTTCTCCATCTGCATTGCTTTCTGGGGAGTGAGAAGCATGAAACAACTCGCCTCTGGCCTTTGGAAATAATTTCAGTTTGTACACAATTCTCTCCTTTTAATGAGTTGTCTATAACCACAATATGTTAATACCAACTATAAAAATAATGATCTTATATCATAATTAATGAACCACTTATTTAGTGAAAGATAATATATACTCTTGCTTGTTTTCCCCATTTATTATTTTCTCTTAAAATTAAAGTTAGTTGCAGTTACTTTACTGATAGGGATGACAATAAATGATTTCAAATGTAATGATATTATATTCACTGGTAGCATCTAATGAGAAGAAGAAAAGAAAGGGAGAAAACATAAAAACAGTAAAAAAGAGTAAAGATGCCATTTGCATTAACTGGACAACATTCCCTTTGCTGTTTGCTAAAACTGTGTGTGTTATATGCTGTTGAATGGGCTCCAGTTCCTGGCAATCCTATGAATGAGTTATGTCCACAATATCCTGTCTTCAATAGCCCTGCTCAGCTCCTGTAGACTCACGCCTATGGCTTCCTGTATGCAGCCAAACCATCTCATATTTGATCTTCCTCTTTCTCTGCTGCCTTCTATTTCCCCCCAGAATTACTGTCTTTTCCAAATAACCTTGCCTTCTCATGATGTGAGACAGCTTCAATTTTGTCATTTTTGCCTCCAACAGTGTTTCAGATTTAATTTGCTCTAGGATCCACTTGTTCGTGTTTCTGTAGGCCCAGGGCATCTGTAGAGCTCTCCTGCAACACCACATTTCACATGAGTACATTTTTCTTATCAACCTTCTTTACTGTCCAACCTTTGCCTCTGTACATAGTAATTGGGAATATGAGGTGTGGATGATCTTAGCCTTGGTCTCTAATGACACACCATTGCTCTTGATCTTTCCCAGTTCTTTCATTGTTGTCCTTCCATGTCTCTCTTGATTTCTTGACTGCAGTCTCCATTTGAATTGATGACTGAATCAACGTAAGCAAAATCATGAACAATTTCAATGTCTTCATTTTCTTTGTTAAAGATGCATATTTCTTCTGTAGTCATAAATTTTGTCTTCTCCTTCTCCTTCTCTCCTTCTCCTTCTCATTCTCCTTCTCCTTCCTCCTCCTCCTCTTCCTCTTCCTCTTCTTTTTGTTAATCCTCACCCAAGGATATGTTTTCATTGATTTTTAGGGAGAGTGAAAGAGAGAGGGAAAGACAGAAAGAAACATCAATGAGAGAGAGACACGTCAATTGGTTGCCTCCTGAAAGAGCCCCAACCAGGGCCCAGGCCAGGGAGGAGCCTGCAACCAAGGTATTTGCCCTTGAGAGGAATCAAACTCGGGACCCTTTGGTCTGCAGTCCAATGTTCTATCCACTGAGCCAAATCGGCTAGGGTATAAATTTTGTCTTCTTAATGTCCAAATGCAGTCCTACTTTTGTACTTTCTTCTTTCATTTGTATCAGCTGTCATTTCAAATCATTGCTACTATTTGCCCATAAGATGGTGTTATCTGCATTGCTTAAGTTATTGATATTTCCTCCTTCTTCCTCTGAGGCTAGCCCAGTTTTTCATATGATATGGCCTTTTACAGATTAAACAAATAGAGAGATAAAATGTACCATTGTCTGACCATTCTGCTAAAATTGTGCTTAGGTAAGTCTGCCTAGGATTATATTTACCATTGAAAACCACATAACCTAAGAATCTACATTACAGAAAAAGACATAACTGAAATGAAAATGAATATAATTTGTCAGAATTAATTGATTCAACAGATTAATTTGTGATACATATGTCATATGTTTGGTCAATTTGTTTTGGTAGATTGAGAAGCAGACAGTAATTCTGTTATTTTAAATTGTCACAATAATGTTAATAAAACTCTGTAAGCTAAGTCACCCCAGGCATTTTGTGTACATTATTCATTGGGATTGTAAGAATCTGCCAAAACCATTAGGAGGAAACTGACAGGGATAAAGCAGCATAAGGTTCAAAGGGGAGAAGACTGAAGGCAGCTGAAATATTTTTCTTCCATTCTTCCAATATTTCTTAGATTTAAAGTTACAATTTAAGAAATCAGAGACATAAGCACCAAATCAATGAATGCTGTTCTTCATTGAGCTCTGCCAATATTAATCATTGTGTTACACTGATCAGTTGGTTAACTTCATTTTAAAAATATATTATTTAAGCTTTGAACAGAAAAAATGATTATTAAAAGAGACTAAAGGTGTGTATTGGGATTCATGAGGCAGGATTGCAGTACATTTATTTTTCAAACTAGAAAAGCAGAGGAAGTTTAAATTTTGTATAATGGAAAAATAAGTTATATTTTAAGCATCAGAAGTAGGGACTCGGTTTTGCTTCATTCTTCTCTTTATCCTTTCTTTAAAATGTTTTTTTTTAATCAATTTCAAAGAGGAAGGGAGAGGATGAGAGAGATAGAAACATCAATGATGAGAGAGAATCATTGATTGGCTGCCTCCTGCAAGCCCCCTACTGGGGATTGAGCCCATAACCCAGGTGTGTGCCCTTGGCCGGAATCGACCCCTGAACCCTTCAGTCCGAAGGCCGACGCTCTGCCCTCTGAGCCAAACCAGCTAGGTCTTCTCTTTATACTTCTTAATTCAACATAGATACAACAAATACTTAACCCCATCACAAATATTAAATCCTACCTTTGCCTCTTATCAACAGTTCTTCCTGGACTAGCATGTATAGAACCATGTTAAAGCAGGGAGCCCTCTGGTGGCTTAACACTGCTAAATATCTAGTCTAAAAATTCTGAATTCACATATGCTTCTAAGGCAGTCTATAGCTTACATCTTTCAGGAATGAGAAGAGAGTTTTCACAGATCTTTAAAGTAGGTTTTTAGTATGTCAGAATAGTTTGTTTCCCCATGAGTCATGTATATATGCTTGAGTATATGTGATTGCATAGGAATGGCCTCAAAATGAGTTTAAAAATTGATGTAAATAATTCAGAAATGATAAAATATACTTCTATGGGGAAGTTCAGTTTTCTTCAAGTAGACTCAAATTTATTCCTCTCTCTCTCTCTATCACCCTTGCTAGTTAGAAATGATTTTCCTTTAGAAATGCAAAAATATTTCAAGCTACAGATTTTCAGGCCTTTGAAAGTAGAAGTGGTTCCCTGATAGGTTGTGTTCCCAGGTCCTGTGTGTGTTAACCAGTGAATTTTATTCTTCACCTTCAACCTTCCTAATTTTCCAGTCCAGTTTTCTCTTGCCAAGCACTAATACATGATGACAGATCATATAACTATTATTAATGTTGTAAATTGATCTTGAGTGATGCCATGTAATTTATGCTTACTCTTGACTGGAAGCAGTTTAACTCTCTCATTCTCTCAAGAGGAAAAGCCCTAAAAATAGGACTCTTGAATTACTCACCACTTCAAATGGAGATATGCAAACTGACTTTGCAAATACTTATGAAGATTCTGAGGTTTGCTCATCTACCATAAGGGAGGATAGAGAAAGGGAAGCACATTTGTTTAATCAAAAGTATTCAATTAGCATTATTTTATTTAGACTCTAAAATCCAGGGGATTCAGTGATGTTAATTCCATTTTACAGAAGAGAATTCTGAGGCTGGAAGAGATTTAAAAACTTTCTCAGGCCTATAATGCAAAATCTAAAAGAAAATTTAAAACCTCTGACATTCCACGTCAAAGTTCATAATGTTTCTTCATTCCATGATGTCAGATATCCAAGGCAAATCCTTAAAATTATAAGTTCTGGAGTTTAAGTTCAAAGTACTTCCTATTTAATTTGGTGTTTCAAGGTACAAAATAAAATTCAAAGAATAAATACTTTTGTTATAGGATGGATTAGTTCATTAGGTGAATGAGAATGGCACTTCTAATCTTTCTAAGGCCCTAGGTTTATTTATAGAATTGCCACATGTCTGAAGGAACTCATTTCTGTACTTGATTTGATTTGTTAGAATTGCCCATTACTTTAGCTCTATTTTTTATGTCATTTACTTCCCCTTCATTTTGTTCTTTCTGATTATTTTTCTTAAATGTAATCTAATCATCTCATCATGATATTTAGCAATGTGTGGATCTGTAATTATGTATCTGAAGTTCAATTAAGCACCTAAGTATATGAACCCTTGTTAAATTTAACATTACCAGCTCGCATTATTATCAGAGGTTCTCAATGTCATTTTACTGATAATAATTCAAACATTATTATCAATAGAACCATTGGGTGGAATTCTTTAAAGTAGAGTAGGTTATGGTGGACAGTCATGTGACTTCTCCGGGAGATCAGCAGTGGTTAGAAAATGAGCTCCCTTTTTATGCCCTCTGCTCTATTTTTTCATATTTGTAGCTTTCAGGTTCCCAAGGAGAAATTGAAAACAGAGAGGCTAGTTGGCTTTCAGAGGCTTAAAACATTATTGATGTCATGTCTTTCAGCAGCGCTAACAAGTAGGCTGGGCTCCATTCTAACCGTTCCCCTATGAAAGGAAATTTAACAGAAAATGTTCTTTCTGTTGTTAGGTTTTTCTTTCAGTTCTCATTCCAGTTTGCTGTCCTCCATAGCATAACAAATTAAAATTCTCCCTCCCCAAAGACTCAATTAGAAAAAGTTATTAGCAAAAGAAGAAAGCATTGATGATTTTCTCTGGTGGGTTGTGTCTTCTTTTTGGAATTCCACAACTCAAACATCGCTTTAGTCAGAATTTCCTACTACTCCAAATACCACACTATCCAGAAATTATAAATTCAATCTTTAGTGTGTTCTCCCTTTATTTTTTAGCTGCAATACATCCAAAATGCTAACTTACATATTTACATTACAGAAAACAGAAAGAAGCAGACTTTGTCTTTATGCCTGTCTTTATGAATTATCTGTGAATCTTTTTAAAAAATGCAATTCCTGGTAGGAACATCAGAATTCTGATTTATTAAGAACACAAGCCTCAAAACCCTGTCTGGTCATGTTTTGTCTCAGGTCCTTCATCAAACAAGTGTGAGCACTGGACCAGATCATGTCTGTGGTCCCTTGTAACTCTGACCTTCCAATGAACAGTTTACCCAAATTATTTCTACACTTTAAACTAGTATAACTACATTTGTTTTACTACTATGAACAAATTTTGACTTGGATCAATAAC